ACTTTGGAATAATTTCAACATGTCATTGCATAAAAAACCTCCCATTTTTATTTTAATAATAAGGGAAAATTTTACTTTAATACCCTGAACTTTGGGATAATTTCAACATGTCACTTCTGAACTTTCAAAAAGTGTCAAATTGGTCCCTATGGCTATCGTTATTGGACCAATATTTATCTATTGAAAATGTTAAAACTACTCCTCAAAAAATAATACACTATTCACCAACTTTTAATAGGGTAAATTTTTTAAATTACCCTTATGGTTTAATTAACTGACTAAGTACACCCTTATTGTTTGACTATTGTCTAATGCTACCCCAATTGTTTTGGAAAATTATCATTACCGTTAAAATATTAATGGAATGGCTGAAATGTCCATTTTGCCCTCTTTAAAACACCTAAGTTTGCACCCATTTTCTGAGTCCCGCTTCATTAATTATTCTCACCTCATTGCTCGTTTCTCCCCCCTCATCTCAATCTTTCCACATCTGTAGCCGCTCTATTCATCATCTTCTCAGACAAAGAATAAGGAACATCCGACAATGATGAAACCACTTTTCTAACCTTTTTCTTAGCATGTCCTCATTCAATTAAGTCATTCTCATATCCCTTCGCCCTTGATTCCGTTAAGACATTAAGAGAGGAATCAAGTTTTGTCACTTCTGATTACCGCTATTGTGTCGATTGTGTCAAGAGGTTCGAGGCGAAGGTGAAAAATTGATGTTGGGTCATTGTTTCTGTTCGATGGGGAGTGAGAAAGGGAGAAGAGAAGCCGGAATCATATTTTCCTGACATTTCCTTTTTCTCTTTACAAAGATGGACAATTGCTACTCCTTGTGAAATACAAAAGGAACTGCCTTGCGAAATACATAAGGAATGACCTACTTCCCCTGTGAAACTACCGCTCCCTCTCTCTCTTTACCTTCTTCCCCTTTGAAACCATTGTTCCCTCTCTCTATTCTCCCATCTCTCTCTCTCCCCTTTCTTCCATTGTTAGATTTTTCTTTTCCCCTTCGTTCTCTTTCCCTCTCTCTCCCTTTCCCTATTTCAATAGCCGTCGCTTGCAGCGGCGGATCTAAACACAACGGTGGGGCAGCACTGTTTAACTCAAGGTTTGGGGAAAAAGAAGAAAAGCAAAAGCCCAAGCAAAGTACCTCTCTTTCTTAGAGAGACCGACATCCATAGGCGTATATCTTCTCTTCTTTCTTATTCCAACTTCACTGTTCTTGTTCAGACAAACAAGGAGAAGTCTCATTAATGTAAGGAAAATACGATTCCAGTTTCTTTGTTCATCATCCCTCTCCCCTTCCTCATCCATGCCATTTATGGCTAGGGGTGAGCAAAAAAACCGAAAAACCGAACCGAACCAAAAAATCAATTAACCGAGCCAGTCGGTTCGGTTTTGGTTAACCATTTAAAAAAATTAGCGGTTAACCAAATCAACCGATATATACACAATAATATATATTTATATAATATTATATATATTATATATTATTTTTCATTGTTTTTTGAAAATCTAATAAATGCTGAATTTAGACATTTCGGTTCGACTGTCTAGGCTCTAGAGTGTTCGCCAGTTTGCCAAACTGAGACTTTTCAGTTTGCTAGTCTGCTAGACTGCGGACAACTAGACTTTTCAACCTAAAAGTAAAACCTTTGCTTCTCCCTTTCTCTTTCTTTCCCTCTCTCTCTCTCTCTCTCTCTCTCTCATTCTCACTCTCTCAAACTCTCAGACTCCCACTCTCCTAGCCAGTTTTCTTCTTCGTTCTTCCCCAACAAACCAACGGGCGACGGCCTTCGGCGCTCCCAAAATGAACTGCAATAGTTTCATAGACGACCTTCGGCACTCCCAAAAATCAATGGACCAATGGGCGACGGTCTTCAGTGCTCCCAACTGCAATAGCTTCAATTGACCAACGGGTGACGGCCTTCGGTGCTCCCAAAAATCAATTTTCTTCTTCGTTCTTCCCCAATCTCTTAGCTCTCTATGTTTCTCCCACTCTCTCAAACTCCTGCTCTCCCTGTCTTCAATTACCCTTTTTTTTATTTTGAAGGCATAAAAAAAACCGAAAAACCAAACTGCGGTTAACTGGTTGCATCGGTTTGGTTGAATGTATAAACCGAACAAGTCGATTCGGTCCAAAAAATTGCCCCACGGTTCAGTTGAATGTATAAACGAGAAGTCTTGGTTTTTTTCCTTTCCTTCGTTTCTCTTAGCTTAGCTTCTCCATATCATTGTTGCAATTGGGATATGAGGTTGGGGGAGAAAGCTGACAAGTGTGCATACAAGATCTGAGATTTGAACTTTCATATCTTTAGATATGCTTCTAGGACTGTGAGGGCCATTAGAAGGGATGAAGTTGCAGTGGCGGCAATGCCTTGGTTGACAGTCCACTATGTAGGGAAAGAGGTGAGGAGAGACATAGAGATTTGAAAGGGTATTTTTGAAAAGATATTGATCACGTGATGTCATATGTGATTGAGTGTGACGGAAAGTTAATGGTAGGAGAGGTTTTAGTCAATTGTTAGAAAATTTAAGGATACTCTAAGACAATAATTAAACAATAAAGGCAGTGTTAGTCAATAAACTAAATAGTAGGGGTAGTTTAAGAAATTTACTCTTTTTAATATAATAGTATTCTACTAATTAGGAACAACGATGCCAACTAAGATGGATTTGTGGCATCGTCTATTGTTTTTCTTGAGTATTCTTTTATAAGCAAAATCCAAAATTTTTGGTAGGCTCGATTTGAAAAAAGTACAAATACAAATATGTAGAGTGCAAAGCCTTGTATTTTATATCATTTTATATGTATTTACACTGTTCATATTCGTACTCTTTCCAATCAGAGCCTAAAGATTAATTGTAGGGGATTTCATTTCTAAACCTTGCACTCGTTAATTGAATCGGTGACTTCTATTCTATGAGTGAGAGCAAAAACAAAAGTACGATTCATGTTTTCATTGGAGGCCGCTGGATAACAAATGCAACCAAGGGCTAGTGTAGAAGACCATTCGACACCTCCCATGAAATAAATTTTCTTGGTTAGAACTTAGAAATCATTCAATTGGGTAGGCCAATGTGATGTCATGATAGGCATCCAGGTCTTCTACACTGACCCCACAGAGTGGATCGAGAATCAATAGATAGATATATCGAGCGTATTTTGAACTTTGGCTCAGATCTCTCAAACGAATAGTGTGAGTGTCTGATTTATCTAGAATCGTTACTGGACCACCGAGTCATTAAGAAACTTTTTCTTCCCACCAATAGGCGGTAAATAATTCATTCACGTCTTTGTTGGGGAGATCGATTCTCACCATGTACGCCTTCATCGACGGAGAGAATCTCAAAGGAGGGGTCCTCTTTAACTCATCATTTCTAACCCTGAATTCATGGGTTGATTTATTGTAACCCACCTTGCAATCTGCACATCTCTTTGACTGCCTGTGAAACATGCAAAAGCAAAACAATTGGTGGCTGGGGACTTAGGAATTTGGATCGTCAAAGAACCTGCTCGGAGTCTCTGACAGCTCGAGCAGTTGGCGGAACGACCATGGCTCCTCTCTCTCTCTCTCTCAAGCTCCATTGGTCCAATGACTGAGAAGACATTTCGTTTTCCTTTTACCAACAGGTTGCTTAGCTTTAAGTAACGAAAACAATCTTTGAGAATTAAAATGACACTTTATATGCCCATATTTAGATCCTGCACCAACCAAAGAACACTAGTACAACTCCATGCCCATCTTTTAGTCACCGGGCTTCACAGAGATGCACTTGCTTCCACCAAACTTATTGAATCTTATGCCAAGTTGGGTGACACAGAATCTGCTAAACTTGTCTTTGATGCCTTCCCGAGACCAGATGCTTTCATGTGGGGTGTACTGATAAAGAATTATGTCAGGAATCATTTCTTCAAAGAGGCCATTTTACTCTATCATGAAATGCTGCATCAGAATATCAATATGATTAGTTTTATATTCCCATCTCTTCTTAGAGCTTGTTCTAGTCTCGGTAATGCGGGTTTGGGTGGGAAGGTCCATGGGAGGATAATTAAAAGTGGGTTTGAGTCTGATGGGATTGTTGGGACTGCATTGCTTAGTATGTATGGAGAAAGGGGCAATCTAGATGCTGCACGCATGATATTTGATGGCATGCCAATGAGAGATGTAGTTTCCTGGAGTTCAATTATATCCTGCTATGTACAGTGTGACCAGGCCCAAGAAGGGCTAGAAATGTTCAAGAGGATGATCTCTGAAGGCTTGCAGCCTGATACCGTGACAATGCTCAGTGTGACCCAAGCTTGTACTGACCTGGGTTTCCCAATACTGGCAAGGTCTGTTCATGGTTATGTAGTTAGGAGGGGGATGGAGAAAGATGAATCGTTGGAGAATTCTCTTATTGTTATGTACAGTAAATGTTGCGACTTTAATAGTGCAGAGATACTCTTTGAGAATGCAGCTCACAGGAATACTGTTTCATATACTGCAATGATTTCCTGCTACAATCAGCGAGCTTGCTATCTAGAAGCGTTGGACATTTATTTTAGAATGCAAGAATCCAAAGTTGAACCCAATTCAGTAACTATGGTGGCAGTTCTGTCTTCTTGTTCGCGATTGGGTTGGCTCAGAGAGGGGATGTCGGTGCATGGTTTCGTAATTAAAAGAGGTATAGACCCTGATTTTCATCTTGTGGGACCAGCAGTAATAGACATGTATGCTAGCTGTGGGAAAACTGGATATTGTCAGAAAGTATTTGATGCAATACAAGATAAAGATATTGTCTCGTGGAATGCGCTTATAGCTGTCTACGTTCAGAAAGGTTTACCAAAGGAAGCACTGAGACTCTTTGTGGAGCTGAGAATGCAGGGGCTGTTTCCAGATTCATTCACCCTGGCAAGCTCCATCTCAGCCTGCGCTGGTATTGGTTGCTCTCAGCTTGGGAGTCAAATGCATGGTCAAATTGTTAAAACGGGTTTTGAATCTAATGAATATGTCCAGAACTCCCTTATAGACATGTTTTCCAAGTGTGGGTTTGTGGATACTGCATATAGGATATTCAGTAGAATTCAATGGAAAAGCATTATAACATGGAACTCCATGATTGGTGGATTTGCTCAGAGTGGCTTTTCAATAGAAGCAATCGGTCTATTTGATGTCATGCTGTCTACAGGCCTCAAGATGGATAAGGTAACCTTTCTAAGTGCTATTCAAGCCTTCTCTCATTTGGGTTATCTAGAGAAGGGGAAATGGATCCACCATAAGCTCATAGTATGTGGTTTACATAAAGATTCATATGTAAATACAGCTCTCATGGATATGTATTCCAAGTGTGGAGATCTTCAGATAGCTCGGAAAATTTTCAACAGCATGTTAGAAAGGAGTGTGGTATCATGGAGTGTAATGATAGGTGGCTATGGTATGCATGGTAACATTGATTCTGCTATATCCCTCTTTTGTCAAATGATAGGATCAGGCATAAAACCAAATGAAATAACCTTCATGAATATTTTATCAGCATGCAGTCATGCAGGGCGTATGGAAGAAGGCAAGTTCTATTTTAACTTGATGAAAGACTTTGGAATTGTGCCCAGTTTAGGACATTTCACTTGTATGGTTGACCTTCTCAGTCGAGCTGGTGACCTGGATAGAGCATACAGATTTATCAGATCCATGCCAGTCCCTGCAAATGCTAGCATCTGGGGTGCTCTTCTTAATGGATGCCGTGTCCACAAAAGGATGGACATGATCAAAAGCATTGAAAGAAACATTTTAAGTATTGAGACAGATAATTCAGGATATTATGCTTTATTATCAAATGTATATGCTGAAGGAGGGAAGTGGGATGATTTCGGAAAAGTCAGATCAACGATGAAAGATAAAGGTGTGAAAAAGGTTCCTGGTTACAGTATGATTGAGATGCATAGAAGGATCTTTATATTTGGAGTAGGAGATACTTCACATCCACAAACAAAGGAAATTTACAGCTTTCTGAAAGATCTCGAAAGTTTAGCAGAGGAACAAGGCTATTCATTTGGAAGAGATACTCAAATGCTTGATGAGCACAAAGGTCTTCGAGAAAACAATGTTAAGAGACACAGTGAACTTCTTGCAATTGCATTTGGACTTATTAACTCTAGTCCAGGGACGATACTACACATATCAAAGAACCTTCGTATTTGTAAGGACTGTCATACTTTCTCAAAATTTATCTCTAAAATCACAGGCAGAGAGATCATCATGAGAGATTTGAATCGTTTCCATCATTTCATGCATGGGAGTTGCTCTTGTGGAGATTATTGGTAATGTGCTTGATAACAACTTGACAGTATACCATCCCATCTTATTTACAACAGCATATTGTCTTATTCAATGAACAAAAATCTGCTGAACAAGATGTGGATTACTTTAGCTGATTCCAAACAATGAAAATGGATTTTAAAATTGATGTTCACTCAAGTACACTATAACCAGTTATCTTTTTCAAACCTTTCTCATTAGCTATTGCTCTTATTCTGGCCACTTCATCCCATTTGCCAGCTTCAGCAAATATGTTTGATACTAAAGTATAAGCACCCGGGTTCTCAGGCTCCAAATCCAAAAGCTGTCTGCCAATAGCTTCCCCCATCTCAAAATTTTTATAAACTCTGCAAGCAGAAAGCAAGGACTTCAGCGCAGAAGCACTTTGTCCAGATGGCAAATACTTGACAAGATCATAAGCTTCAACTAGATGACCAGCTCGACCTAATAAATCAACCATGCAATTATAATGTTCTTCACATGGAACCATTAGGTACCGTGCTGTCATAGAATGGAAGGCTTGCTTACCCTCTTCAACCAGCCCTGCATGGCTACAAGCAGACAGTAATAAAGTGAAGGTTATCTCATCAGGAACAATCTTTTCCTTTTGCATTTGATCAAAGAGTTGAAGTGCCTTTGCAGAATTCCCATGCATCCCATATGCAGCAATCATTGTGTTCCATGAGGTCAAGTCACATCTACTTGTGTTCTCGAAGAGATATTTAGCAATGTCCAACCTTCCACATTTTGCATATGTTGTTACCAGTGAATTAATGATGGGGAGATCCCTCTCTAAGTGAGTTTTATACATGTAACCGTGGACCTCCTGTGCTAATTTTAACCTTCCTAGCTGAGAAAAGGCCTGAAGCAAAGTTATGAGAGTGATAGAATCAGGGTGCACCTTTTCCTGTTGCATCGTTCGCAGTAGTGTTAGCACTTCATCAGCATGCCTAATGGCAACACAACTCATCATCATTGACGTCCAAGTTACCAAGTCTCTGTATGTCATCCTGTTGAAGACCTGCCTTGCAATATCAATGCGCCCACATTTGGCATACATATGCAGTAATTTATTGGCAATCTCAATGTTCACTTCAAGTCCTTGTCTAACTATATATGCATGGAGGCACCTTCCTTTTCTTGTATCTGTCAGATCAGCAGAAGCAGAGAGAATATTCAGTATGGTTGCAAGATTTGGTCTGATACCTGCTTCAACCATAGCACGAAATGTCCCTATAGCCTCAGAAGGAGACCCATCCCGGAGATACCCAGCTATTATCACGTTAAACAAGATAACATCCCTTATCCTTGCCTTATCAAACAATTTCCTGGCCTGGTTTATTCGGTTGCATTTAGAATACATATCAATAAGAGCAGTGGTTGCTACTATATCCAGATGAACTCCAGCTCGGATTATGTAACCATGGATGCTTTTGCCTTGGGCCAGATATTTCAAATCAGCACAACCCAAAAGTCCATTGGCTAAGGTGGTCAAATCTGGTATTAGGTTTTCCCGCAACATGAGATGGAGAAGATTCAGAGCTTCCACAGGCTGCCCCTTTTGAATATGGCTGGCAATCAATGCATTCCAAGAAGAAACATTTCTCATGCTTATTCTACGAAATAGGGATGCTATCATGTCTCGGGCTCCACATTTGATGTACATGTCCATGAGACTAGTCTCAAGAATACCATTACTATCAAAGCCCCTTCTTACAGCGTAACCATGGATAGATCGACCCTCCTCTAGTGCTTCTAACTGGGCCGCTGCCTTGAGTAAGCTCACCAGAGTCACCCTATTAGGTTCTAATCCTTCCTTCCGCATATGGGCAATAATTCTAAAAGATTCATAAGCACGTCGATCAGCCATCTGTGCATAACCAGTAATCATGGCTGTATACACAACAACATCTCTCTCCGATATTTCCTCAAACACTCTCCTTGCATCTTCAATATCTCCATGGATGGAATATAATCCAATTAGTGAAGCACACACAAATCGATCCGCATTTAACCTAAACTTGAAGGCATCTACGTGAACTCCTCTTCCCAATTCTACATTCCCCAGCTCTACACAGCTCTTCAAACTAAATGTAATTATCGTACCACCCAGACCGATGTTTTGCTGTCTCAGATTCAAATATCGCCTTAAAACTTCTTCAAAATGCCCAGTCCTGAAATACCCAACAAGGATTGAATTCCAAAGAGACAGATTTCTGTTAATAATTCTATCAAAGACCAATCTAGATTCAGTTAAGCAACCAAAGCTAGCATAGCAATTCAGAAGTTTTGAGGCCAACAGAATGTCGGTTCCAAGTCCGTAGGCGAAAATGCGAGCATGAAGCTTTCTCAGACAACTGGCATCTGGGCAGCTTTCCAAATAAGAAACTAATCTATCTGAAATGGGCAACTCTGAACAGATTGGCCCTTTCCTGACGGAAATACAGTAAAACCGAAGCCGAGTTCTAATAGATGGTCCTTGAAACGTTTTCTTTGTTGATGAACGAAACGAAGATGGGAACACAATCATTAGATTACAGTATATTAGTATTCATCCGACTTTCATATGAACGAAAGCATTTATGAAGATCGAATTTCTAGTTGAAGAGCTACTCTTCTCCATGATTGTAGCTCTCGAAGGAAGCAGATGGAAACACAACCATTAGATTACAGTAGACTAGTATTATCCAATCTGACTTTAATACAAGCGGAAGCATTTGTGAAGATTGAGTTTTTGTCGAAGAACTCTAAGTCTCTAACTCATTATTCCTAACTGTATAATTCACTAATTCTCGAGGAACCTAATAATGCTTATACAGTTATACCGTTATACATGAATCATGACAGAGTCTTGAGCGGAAACTCCAATTCAATTCATGGGCCCAGAGCAGAGCTCATCAAAACTGTTCAAGCCCATTTTACCCTTATGTTTTTGTTAAACACTTTACCCTTTGGTTCATGTTTGGTTTGATTGAAAGTAACAGAGATAAAGTTTTAAATTCCTTGAATAACTTTCCTTCAAGTTTATGTTCTTTCACTTATTTTCTATCAAACCAAACACAACCTTTATGGCATCATTTTCCTACATTACATGGACAAATACAAATAAGCAAAATTTATAACTAGTTTAGTTTTGCGATTCGAATTATCCGAATTGACAATCGAATCTCGAATTCGAATCTGGATTTTCGAATACTGTTTATAGGCCTACCTGAGCTCCTGAACTGTTGGCAAGGCTCTCATTGCTGAGTTGTCATCCTACTAGCAGGTCGTGTCCATGTGTCATTCACTTACTAGGTCGGGCCAAATCATCCCTCATCAATTGCCCCCCACTCCTCGTGCCGGGGGTCCTGACTCGATGCGAGGAGTTCATGACGAGCCCAGGTGGATTTGGCACAATGTCTAAATGGTACGGAGGGTGGTTCTTCGGTCGGACCTGTATGACCGCTTGGCTCGACCAGGAAATGACCTAGATCGTGTATCGGGTGTGCATGGACGTCACGCCGTTTATAAACTTCACAGACATCAAAACGCGCATTCAACTGATTTCAACCTTGGGTGGCATGTAGCCGGTTTTCATAGGAGCCATTGGATCATGCAGATCTTGGCCGTTGAACCTCGGTTAGGGCGGCTATAAATAGGGGTCGAAGGGCCCATTTTTTTCGCCACAAACCGCGTGATTGAGTTCCTTGTGATCACATTCAAGTTTCCCAGCTCGGTGTCAACTATCCCCGTGTCCGAGGTTGTCCCGCTTTCTTCAGTCTTCTTGGTGAGTTTGCCTTCCCTTGTTTCCAATTTCCGTTGTCCTATTCCTTTAGCTCGGCATGCCTAGTGTTAGTTTAGATGGCCTTCTTGATGAAAGTGGTGAGTCCGTTGGGGCCGAGGTGGGCACCTCGGCGCCGGCGCGGAGTCCCGCCCTACCGAGGTGGATACCTCGGTACAGGATGTAGAGTCTAACCCGTCCGAGGTGAACTCACCTCGACAAGAACCCGAGGCCTCTGGTAGGTCAGCCTCCACTTTGCGTCGGGGTTGGGCACCGGACAGCTTTCGACCATTTATGATGACGACCAGGCTTTTGTTGTTTTTTTTGTCAGCATCTTATTCACATTCGTTGTTTTTTATCGGAGCAAAAAAATCAAAAGAATGTAAACCTTTATGGTTGCAGTGGCGCTATTCCCATTTTTTTAGAATATTCCTTCTATTGGGAATGAAATACAAGTCAATAAATCAAAGAATGTAAACCTTTACGGTTACAGCCTTCCTCCCCCATCCCGCACCTCAAAATGGAATACAAGTCAATAAATCAAAAGAAACAACAACATTTTAGCATTTTGGGAATGACTAAAACTGATGGCGATGGGAATGACGACCAATACGATGAGAATCATGACTAGAATCAACCCCACACACATCCACTTCTTGCTGCTCTTCTAATAGTTCTTAGCAGTCCTGAGGTCGCGCATCCCGTATCATGATGTGCGATCTGGATGCTCCTAGCTGTAGGGCAGTTCAGACGTCTGTTGACAAATAGATCACTAGAACTGCAAAGAAAAAGGGGATCAGAGAACCCGGGTGGTTAACCCAGCGATGTCGCTCCGATGCTTAAGTCAGTAACTGTGATATGTGAGTTGAGAGTTTAAGAAATAGGAGAGCTAGAGATGCACTTAATCGCGTGTACCTGGGTCTTGGGGGTCGAGGCCCTTATATAGTTAACCTACCGTGAGTCTCACGTAACGGTTCCGGGATCCTCAACCCACGTAGTTGGGATCCGTTCCGCTTTAGAAGGAGAATAACGTATCAATCAATGAAGTTTATCGTTACCTTCCGATTCGGGCAGGGAGAGGATAAGGCATGTTGTTACGCGGCGTGATCCTGAGAGATTCGAAGTCCGCTGAGAAGCTTCTGGAGTCGATTACGTGTCAATTCGGTATTCGAGTGCCGAAGTGGATTTGGTATTGAAGTGCCTGGACACTCGAGCTTAGGCTTGTAAACGGATTGAATTCGAATAGAATCAGGATACATTCAAATTCAAAACCAATTATGAACACTAATATTCGAATTTGATTTGATATCCTATGGATATCAAATCTTTGAGTTCGAATTTGGTTTCGATTATCAAATCGAATATTCGATTCGATTCGAATTCTTCCGATGGTAGTGGTGGCCGGTGAGCGGTGATGGCAGTGCGGCGATGGAGAAGGAGAGATAGAGAAGATGATGGTTGTCGTCAATGATGGTGGTTGCTGTCGAGACTACTTTCACTAACAATGGCAGTGCGACGAAGGAGAGATATAGAAGATAATGGCTATTGCCAGTGATGGTGGTTTCCGTTGAGACTACTATCACTTAATTGTTGCCACAGACGTTGTTGTTGCCTCTTGCCTGTTGGTGATGGCGGTTTCTCGAGCGGTTGCGGTAATGAATCAAGATTTGAAAATTGAAAGAGAAGAGATGGAGGAGAAGATAGAAGACATAGGTGATGGTGGTTGCTCAAGTGGCATCGAGTTGTTGGTGTGGCCGGTGTGGTTGCTTGGGTGACGACAATGGCAAAGGGAGGATTAGGGTTAGGGTTTGCAAGGAAATGGAAGAGAGAAGAAAACCTGTGCTGAGAAAAAATGTCGAGTGATTTAGGGTTTAGGGTTGACTGACTGGGATTTGAGGAACAAATTTCCTCATTTACCCCTAAGAGATTTTATTTATTATATATTGGTCCGGATATTTATCGGATCAGATCAATGCATATCCGAATTCGATCCGATAATTTAATCGGTAAGAAATTAATATTCGAATACGACCAAATATCCGATTCGAATTATCCAAATTCGATTCGATTGTGTCGAATCTCGGATTCAAATTCAGATTTTTGAATACCGTTTATAGGCCTACCCGAGCTTCCGAATTGCCCCCCACTCCTCGTGTTGGGGGTCCTGACCCTGTGCGGGGAGTTCAAGACGAGGCCAGGTGGATTTAGCACAATGTCTAGATGGTACGAAAGGCGGTTCTTCGGTCGGACCTATATGACCGCTTGGCTCGACCAGGAAATGACCCAGATCGCGTATTGGGTACGCACGGACGTCACGCCGTTTATAAACTTTGTGGACGTCAAAACACGCGCTCAACTGATTTCAACTTCGGGTGGCGTGCAGCCAGTTTTCATAGGAGTCGTTGGATCATGCAGATCTTGGCCGTTGAACCTCGATTAGGGCGGCTATAAATAGGGGCCGAAGGGCCCATTTTTCTCGCCACAAACCGTGTGATTGAGTTCCATGAGATCGCATTTAAGTCTCCCAGCTCGGTGTCAACTATCCCTGTGTCCGAGGTCATCCCGCTTTCTTCGATCTTCTTGGTGAGTTTGCCTTCCCTTGTTTCCAATTTTCGTTGTCCTATCCCTTTAGCTTGGCATGTCTAGTGTTAGTTTAGATAGCCTTCTTGATGAAAGTGGCGAGTCCGCTGGGGCCGAGGTGGGCACTTCGACGCAGGCCGCGGAGTCCCACCCTGCCGAGGTGGATATCTCAGCACAGGATGTGGACTCCAACCCGTCCGAATCGGACTCACCTCGACAAGAATGCGAGGCCTCTGGCAAGTTAGCCTCCACTTAGCGTCGGGGTCGAGCACCAGACAGCTTTGGCCCATGTATTCACATTTGTTGTTTTTTTGTGAGAGCAAAAAAATAAAAAGAATGTAAACCTTTTACGGTTGTAGCGGCGCTATTCCCTTTTTTTCAGAATATTCCTTTTGTTTTTCCGGCAACTGTTCTTCACTAGAGCCTTCCTCCCCCATCCCGCACCTCAAAAAGAAATACAAGTCAATAAATCAAAAGAAACAACAGCCTTAAAATAAAGATTTTAGCATTTTAGGAATGACTGAAATTGGTGGTGATGGGAATGACGACCAATACGATGAGAATCAGGACTAGAATAAACCCTGATGAAGGAAGATTTGGCCCGACCTCGCAAATCACGGCACGTGGCGAAAAAGGCAAGCAGCTCGGAACTCAAGACCATACCGAGGGTACAAACGCCAAAGGGAAGAGACCAGAAGGCCCGAGCTCCCTACTTAGAGCTCAAACTCCCTAGCGAGAGGCCCGAGGCCCGAG